GACGGACAGACAGACAGATAGATAGATAGAATTTCCCACTTGATTATGGACATTGAACTTGATTCATAATTTCATGACTTAAATAAAAATTAACGATGATAAAGCCACTTTGCTGCCTGTATCAGAAACTCACCCTGGGGGGTAATATAAACCTAACAAATAATTTATATTCCTCAATCCCTTTAAAATCTCCCAGCTGAAATGAACCCAAACCTTTCAAAGTTCCCCCCACCTCATGATCAGTTTGATGTTCATAAAGCAGAATCCTTCATCTTTTGATTTTTCCTAAAATAGCATTCCACTGGAGCGCAGTGGGGACAGGAGAGTCCATTGCTTGCTCTCCTTCACTGCATAATACGGTCTTTGATTAGTTATGCATTCATTTTTCAGATTAGTTACATTTTAACAGGAATGCTTCATATTGTATAACTGTAAACTTTCCTGATTGTGCCAAAGGTATTTGTTTATATTTTAGACCTAGTGTTCTACTCCATAGACTTCTAGGAAATTTAAAATTGTTATTTCCTAACTTGTTCTATCTGAGTTCCTATTTTTATTGGAAGCCAGTTAGAATACATAATGATGGATGGGCTTTATTGGAAAGCTGTAAATCTGAGTCATGGAAAGAATAATTGTTAGCAATAAATTATGATGTTGATAGTTATGGAACCGCCAACCTGAGTCATAATTTTTCATTTAATCCTAACGAATGCCTGAACTTCAGTGCGAAATATATGTCTTGTTGGACTGCAGGGAATTGGGGATCCCATCATAATCGGCCTCTACATAAAACATTCAGAAAAAAAGTAAAGTACAAACATGTGTCATTCAGAAGTAGGACCCTCTTCAAGTGAGAGGAGTCAGTACAAGGAATCCGCTCACTTGAAGTTTCATCTTGTAATTCACCAAATTAAAAAAAAAAGAAAAAAGAGTTAACAAGAAAGAACATGGGCGTACAAGTAGTGAACTTGATAAAATTGGAAAGAAAAATAGGAGTAAACAGCTGAAAGGATAAAGGAAAGTGGTCATGCCCTCCATTCTTCTTGCAAAATTGACAAGAATATATTGTACATGGTTCCCTGACTTCCCCCCACCCCACCTTTTTTTTTTTTTTTCCTTTCACAGAAATGCTGTTGGTCCACTGAAGTCAGGGCTGGGCCATTTTTTCAGGGTCAAATCTGGTCTTGCTATCTGACATTTTCTTTGTGGATGCCAGGAGCTGAACCTCAGAATTTCTTAAAAAGCAGGAGTTCTTCTATTGACCTAAGTCTTTGCCCCAAGTTTTTGTGAGGATTCAATTTTGTTTTCACTTAAAGCAGATAAATAACTTTTACATGCAACTGAATGATACTAGCCAAATGTATTCTGCATTGAACTCCATGGCAGAGTACATTACATCTGAGTAAATACCTTAAGGGGACACAGTGGCGCAAAGGACTCATCCAAAAAGCAGTCACTGCAGAGTCGGTAGCGACTGAGTGCAGATAACAAAAAATAAAAAATACCTTAAGGATTACTACCTTGATTATGTTAAATTCACTTTTGTAGTTTTTTTATGCAAAATCAAACTGAAAATTAAGCTTGAATAATGATTTAATTGCAATGTAAGTTTAATTTTAAAAATTCCCTTTGTACTTTTGCCTGTTAAATTCAGGCTGTGTGAGTTGCATGATACTGATAAAGGGAAAAACCTAGAAAATCTCATTAAATGGCCTGTTAGTATTTGCTGATTTTTGATTGCCCTTGCTGATACTTGCAGCCAGAAACTGGAATATCCTAGCTGTATTTTAGCTATACCTGCCTGCTTGACACTCAAGGTGACTTACGTCTTCATTATTACTTTCGTCAGCATGGACATGCTTAAAAACAAAGTTATCTAATTTGATGCAAGCCTTATTCGTTGTTCTGAGAAGTAACTATTAACTTGATCTTTAGATAGCTGCACATTTCTTCTTACGCAGTGGCTTGCGGTAACCTGCCCGTTTCAAACCTAATTCTACTCTTCCTGAATAGTAGTACAAGCTGAATTCATGCATGACACTAAACTGCAGTGTGGATTATGTAATTCTAAATAATCATCATGTGTGAGCCCAGCCTTTTGGTTGGTAAAATATGGTTTATAGTACAGGATAATGTGTAATCCAAGCCATTGAGACAGGTGGCCAGGAGTCAAATTTGCAGAAAAATAAACGTTGCATTAAGACTTGGGATATTTTATTTATTTATTTATATTTCAAATTTGCCACTGCCCATCTCACTGCAGAGTGACTCTGGGCAGTTTACAGTAAAAAGAATAAATATGAATTAGAATAAATATGAATTAAAATACGTTACAAGAAGACATCCTATAAAATAATAAATACCTTCCAAGGAGTTATTAGACTCAGGGAGCATCTTCAAGGCACTAGCCACCCCCAGGGTTGGTTATATCCCCTCTCGCCCCACATGAGTTGGCAGAGCCAGGTGTTCAGCCCTTTCCGGAAGGCCGGGAGAGTGGGGGCCTGCCTCCCCTCTGGGGGGAGAGTATTCCATAGGGTGGGGGCAATGGCAGAGAAGGCTGTCCTCCTGGGCCCTGCCAGTCAACATTCTTTCATAGACGAGGTGTGTAACATACCTTCTCTGTCTGACCAGGTGGGATGGGTTGAGGTAAAGGGGATGAGACGGTCCCTCAGGTAACCTGGTCCCATGCCATGTAGGGCTTTAAAGGTGATAACCAACACCTTGAATTGGACCCAGAAGCAAACTGGCACCCAGTGCAGGTATGTATAAATAGGGCTGTGTATGCTTCAGAAAGGATTCAGAAGAGGTCCTCTGGAATGGAAAGAGTGCACAGACTGCTCCTCTTTAAAGCAATCCCATATCTTTCAGGGAAGCCTGAAAAAAAGATCAGGCTGCTTTAAAGAGATGTTCCATTGGGGTCCCAGCGTGTTCTGAAACCTGTGTTGGAAATCATGTTTGAAGCACGTAGAGCCCTAGTATAAAATTGCATAAATACTATGGCCTAAACAATTGTAGATGCTCAAACATTGCACGTAAGAATCCTTTATCTTATTAACATGCTTGTGCAAGGGGTCTTTTTTCTTCCTTTCATGTGTTCGAACAGTGTGGTAAGAGCTGTTTCAACAATCAGTCGCAGTTCGCAGCAAAGCTCAAAATCTGCTGATGCAAGTAGTTGGATTTTAATAGATCATTGACCCATCTGTAAGACTCTGACCACTTTGGAGATAAAGAGGTAACGTTCTATTGGCTGCTCATACTGGAACATATTGAGAAATGGTGTAATAATTAACAGTGGTAATGGAAATGTGCCTTTTCATTTCCAACCAGTACATGTGAGTGGCAGATTTTCCCCCCCGCTTAGTAGCATTAACTCTTTATTTTTTAACTGTATTGCAGGATCAAAATATAAGTTAGAATTTCAGGTTGCCATTAAGTCACCCGGGAGATGCAGAATTGTTGGCCATAGGGTTCGGTCAACAGGTGGCAGCAGCTAGCTAGCTTTAGCTAATCCTAAAAAGCAAAGCAGGGGCAGATTTAGTTAGAATTTGATGGGAGACCCCCAGGAAATGCCAGGACTATGGCTAAACTAGCAATGAAGAAAGCAAAACAAAAAACAAGAAGACAATACCAAAGAACTCCCAAGATTGCAGAGACAGAGGCATGGATTCCCTGGGAACTGAACTTGATTCCAAGAATCGGCAGTGTGGTGCCTGGAATGTCAATATTTCCCCAGAACCTCCCCTGGAGCCCACAGGGTTTCCTGACGTGCTTGGCTGTTTTTAAAGGATTCTTTTAATAATAAAAATAACCAGGAGCCAGGCTTGCTATACGGCATCTAACCTCATATTTATTGCCAGGAATACCTTTGGGGTTCACAAAACTACCTTGAGAGATTAGAGTAGAAAGGCAGGATATTAATTAGATAATCAATGAATAAGATTTCCCACAACCCCAGCAGGATGGTAGAGACCGTTCCAGGGGCAAGTGGGCCTTCTGATGGATAGTGGTGGGTCCTGTGCACTAGGAAAACCATATTTGTGAAAGGTGGCCTCCCATGGCTGCTCTCAGTTGCAAATGTACTCTGGCCTTCAGCCTTCCTCTTATTGTATGCATATGCAGTCTATAGAAGTGACTGCACCAATAATCCCTGTCTATGGATGAAATTACATCCATCCTTGTTGGTCTGTGATGAAACCCAGTTTAGACTTCTCGCAGCTGCAATTACCTGGATTCGCTTCAGTTGATTTTACCGAAGGACATGAGCAAATTGACCAATGCAGCAGCGTGCCTGCTCAACCCTTGCCCTTCTTGGCTCATGATAGCGAAGTGATCAAGGCTCAGGTTGAGCTGGTTTACATATAATCAAGCCAGGTTAGAGGCAACTTTTTTGGCCACCCATCATGCTCATTGGGAGGCTGGAGGCCAGAGCAGATGGGCTAGGATGTAATTGTCCCAAACTTTTTTGGGGGAGACTTTTTAAAAACTTAGTTTGAAATAGGTTTAGTCTTTGCCTTGGAATAGTCAGAAACCATAACACTGCTTTTGGTCATTATATAGCTGGGGAAGTGCATAGAAGTGATTTGGAAAGTATCCAGTCCTGGCATCTCTAGTTGCCCATCCTTGCACTATGGCAGTGTTGTCCAAACTTGGCCACTTTAAGATGAGTGGACTTCAATTCCCAGAATTCCCCCGCCCCCCCCCCTCGGTGGGGGGGTCTTGGGGGGTGGGGGTACCCCTAATTAAAGTGGGGAAATTTTGAAAAAACTGCCTTTGGGGAAAAA